ACGTGACTGGTGTGGCGCCACCTATTTTCTAGAACTATCCTGTACCTTGGCGAATGCTTTAGGATTTACTAGATATAGGGTAGTCTGGTATATAAAAGAGGGTGACAACGTGACGGGACAATAATGTGTGTGTAGACAGTGAGTGATTGAACTGCAGTCAGAGAGAGACGTATTGTTGAAGTTAACGTTCGTTCATATAGCGTTTGGAACAAACGGAGACGTAACAGTATGAAATTCATGAATTGAACTTTGTTTACAAAGATGTATTTATGTTTCATTGTTTCTAAACTTAGGTTCTCGTCGATGGTTCTGGTAGAAGTACGTAAAACTGGTAAAAAAAAAACAACAAGATTTTAAACATGGAATACAATTCTCTACAGCTTCCAAGTTCAAGAGTGCATGGAGCGCCGGTGACTGACTCGTTGTTTATATTTCAAGAATAAACACCAACTATGTTCAGAAAATATATAAAGATTATTAAAATTCATCAAACTTCAATAAGCATATGATCATTATGATTATAAAGTGGACAAAACCAAATAATATAAAATTACGTTTAGACTTAGTCTATTTGTTTTACTTATTATATAAATATCGTTTTTTTTAGTGAAGGAATTATCTTTAACATATTCATAACAGTATATTCTCACTATACCAAAAAATATTGTATAGTGTAAATATAATTTACAGAAATACTGAATAATGTAATCATAATACCCAAAAATGTGAAATACCGAAAATACACTTTGCAAAATAGTGGAAGGTGTAAAAGTACAGTAAAATATGTTAAGTCATTATGTTGCTACACACAATATTCGGCCTGGCATGGCCTAGTGGTTAGGGCGCTCGATTCGCAGGTTCGAATCCCCATCACCTCACATGCTTCCCATTTTAGCCGTGGGGTCGTTATAATGTAATAATTAATCCCACTATATTTTGGTAAAATAGTAGCCCAAGAGATGGCGGTGGGGGGGGGGGTGACTAGCAGCTTTCCCTCTTGTCTATCACTGCTAAATTAGAAACGGCTAGCGCAGATAGTCCTCATGTAGCTTTGCGCGAAATTCAAAACAAACCAAAACACACTATGTTCATAAATAATGAATAGTTTAATCGTACTATAGACATAAAACACTTTCCTTTGCTTTTACTTTAATCTTGTATTATAATGCTCAACAGATTCTTGATTATATTTCATAAAAGAATTACAAGCAAGTTTGGTGTAAGTTCATAGCCCCCTGTAGTAAGTTTTACCATGGTGACCGTTTCGTTCTAATATCTTCAGGTAAAAAAGTGATCAAGTAAAATAGCCTCTATTGCTAAAGTATTTTTCTGCCTATTTAAATATTTTATTATATCAGCCACCTTGTTACATACTGTTGTCGCAATATAGAAAATCGTGACGTAGTCACAATTCACTTCATAGAAAGTCGGTACAGAGTTGTCGAACTTGTGTAGAAAAACTGGCTGCTATTACAGTCGCTTCTGCAAACATAAAACGTTACCAGTATACCCCTCCCCCCAAACACACACCCTTAGGCCGTATGGAACTTAAAGATGGACGACGATCTACTTTTGTGCTCCGCCTCCGATTGAAAACAGACGAAGTTTATAGAAGATTAAACGGTATGTACAATTTAGTTATCTAGATTATCCTGAATGAAGTATAGCCATTTTATGTAGAATATGTTCAGATATAAGAAACATGTTACAGAAAAAATAAATTATTACTTATGTACATTAAAAGAAACATCTTCATTTAATGGTGTTGGAATGTTTGTTGTTAATTGTGTGATTGTTGGTATTCTGTATTTTAAACATGTACACATAACTTTCGTCTTTCTTATCCTGCTCTCCGGAAATGTGTACGAGCAAATTTCGTATTTATTTCTTTGTTGTTGTTGTGTCTTCTGTTCTAGTACTATTGAGTGCTTATTTTCGTCCAAACTAACTACAGACGGTTAACAGTATTTATGTGAGGGAAATAATAGAGCAATTCGTTCTTCTCGTTCCTTGATACGGTAGTTGGAAGCAATCACCAGCGGAGAGAAACAAAATGTATAAATAAGAACATTCGCCTTCACGCTAGGTGGCTCGCTCAGCCGCGACGTTAAGCCTAGTTTATTTTTCATTATACACATTGACACTTCCATAAGTTACAGTCTATTGTTTTGAATTAAACCACATTCTATTGTTGCGAAGTAAGGTGTCGTCAGTCTTGCGAGGACTGAATGCTGACAATTAACCTTGCTAAATATTTGTTACTTGAACAATACAATAACGTTACTGCCCTTCATTATTTACAAATTGCTAATGCATCTGCGCTATCATCTATATTCTCAGCTCTATTTCTTATATCTCTAGTTTGATTTAGTTTGTCGGTGTTACAAACCAGAAACAAATATATATATATATATATATATATATATACAACAACGAAAATTTAGCTGTGTGGAATCTGTTATCTTACTTCATATATTGTTTTAACCATAATCGAATTTCGAGTAAAAAATTAGTAACTCAATGTTTCAAACACTTATAAATTTTTTCGACCTGCTGTGGAATATTTATGCAATAATAGATGAGTAAGGGAGTTTATTTTTATTATACTTTTATCCAGCAGTATGGGGATGGTTGCACACATCCTAAAACTTAGAAATTGTAATTAATTAATAGTTATCGCAACTGTTCAGACACCGTGTGCTGACTGGCTGCCTCATGGGAGGGGAGGGATATAGATCATGACATCATAGTGCCACGTACCAGAGAGCGCTGCTGACTTCGGGAAGGATGGCATAATATATCCACGAAGTGACACTAGAGGGCGCTGCTGTCTTAGGAAGGTGTGACATCATAGTTCGATACCAGAGAACTTGTTACTATAGGTGGATGCTATTACCTAGATTCTATAAGCGACGGTGTTACTAAGGTTCTATGAATGGATGGTGTTACTAAGGTTGGATAGGCTACAGTGCTACTAAGGTTCTATAGGCGGATGGTCTTAGTAGGTGTATTGTGTTTATAAAGACAGTTGATGTTTCTATAAGCAGATAGTGTTTGTTATATTTCCATAGAACTGTATACAGGTTTCAACACGTCTCAATATATGTTTATAGTTTGCATTTATATATTACATATATTTTACAAAGGAAGTGTGTTACTAGATGGACTGTGTTACTAAAGTTCTATAGGCAGATGGCCTAACTAAGGATAGTGTTTCTAAAGGCGGATAATTCAATAGGATGATGAGCTTTTAGTATGATGTCTCAACATGTGATTACATCTTCATCATTGTAGTCTAGATTTAATTATAAGTCCTAAAAGGTTAACAGTAAATGAGTTCTTCACAAAATATTTCCTTTTATACATATCGACAGTTACTTTATAGTTTTCACTTACATATTATATATGTTTTACAAAGGCTGACAGTGCTTCTAAGGGTGGAGGATATTATTATTAGAAGGTCTTAATAAGGATAAATTTTTTTTAGGCAGACGATGTAAATAATGGCAGTTTTTCTATAATTCCGTGGGATTTTAACACATCTGCGGTTTCACTTTTATAAGTAAAACCTTTATTTCAACAAGACAACTATTATAACACTGTTGCACACTTTCTTGATCTTTTAATATATACTTCTTAGAGGCTTCGACAAAAAAAGTATAGGATGGGCTTATTTATTCGCACTCCTTAATTCAGCTGTAAGTTTGAAAGTTTATAACATTAAATTTAAACATTAATTTCAGAAATTAAGAAACTACCACTGTCACATGTTACCATAAGGCATCAATTTTAAGTATTTAGTAACCTAGAAAATGTAGCCGCAACTAAGAGAAGTCGGTAATGGTGCATTAATGCTTGCTTCGCCCACTTTTACAGATTTTTGGTCTAACTTAGCGTTAGCCTAAACTAAAGACTACTGGGTTATCTTTGTTGTTTTTTTTTGGTTGTTGAAATTGTTTGTAAGTAATTTTCTGGGAATAATACAAGACTCACCTTCAGAGGTAAAATCATTATCTTTTCAGATTATCACACCCGTGCGATGAAAACAGAAACATTGTATTATATGCCTATAAAAAAAAACTACCTATTTCGTAAGTAAATAAAAATGGACTTTTGTCTGGTGTCATCCTAGATAGCTCAGCGGTAAGTTTGGGGTCTTATAACGCTAAAAATCGGGTTTCGATACTTGCGGTGAGTAGACCACAGAAGTCATTGTGTAGCTTTCTGCTTAACAATAAACAAACAAATTATCTGATGTCGCTATTGCCATTCTTCTAGCATATATAAATCCAGTATTTAAAATAGCTTTATTACAAAATGCTTTGTATATGCGGCATTGATTCAAATTATTGCAGCAATACTGCAACCAGTTAGCTTCTCCAAACTCTTACAAGACTAATCCGTATCCAGATTTTCTGTCCTCCTTCATACAAAATAAGCAGAAACTGAACACATGATATTATTACGACAGCGGAAATCGGATGACGCTGGGAGCATGCGCGCTGGAGTTTCTCGAATTATCGAGGAACCCCGCGAATGTCCGAGTGCATTCGAGACGCCCTCTTTATAGTATATAAACCTAGCGAGAAAACCAGCGTGATGGTTTGTTTGTTTGTTTGTTTTTTAATTTCGTGCAAAGCTACAAGAGGGCTATCTGCGCTAGCCGTTCCTAATTTAGCAGCGTAAGACTAGAGGGAAAGCAGCTAGTCATCACCACCCATCGCAAACTCTTGGGCTACTCTTTCACCAATGAATAGTAGGATTGACCGTTACATTATAGCGCCCCCACGGCTGAAAGGGCGAGAATCTTTGGTGGGACGGAGATTCGATCCCGCGACCCGCAGATTGCGAGTCGAGTGCCCTAACCACCTGGCCATGCCGGGCCCAGCGTGATGGAAGAAATATAGATAGATCGAAGAGATAGATGTCGAAAAGATAGATTGAAGAGATAGATAATTGAGTCACAGTGGGCACCGTGAGTAAGTGTGTGAATCACTGTGATTTATAGCATGTGTTATAAAAGATTTTAAGTTTAAAGTGACTATGGAAATTCTTTGTATTACTAAAAGTGTGTATCGAGAAAGAATAAACTAATTTAATCAAGAAAGGACTTATATCGCTGAAGTTCCTTGGAAAGAATTTATACCGGAAATTAACAAAAGAAGCAGATACGCAACAATATTGTTGTTGTAAAGTTTACTCGTATTTCTTTTTGTGTTGTGTCCTACAAAGACTTAGTTTTCCCAAAACTGGCTGAGGCTATCAATATGAAGTATAATATTGTTACGTCTCCATTTCTTAATTAACTTCCCGTAACTTCGTTCCGACGAAACTTTAGCGACACAAGTCCTTACTTAATAAAACTGGTTTATTATTTCCGAATATAACTTTACGATACACTTGTTTTCAACAATCGCGCTAAAATCTAGAGGCTCAAAGACTATATTTAATAATAAAGGTTTTGATAGAATGAGAAAACTTAAATATAAGCTAATTAATTAGTGGTGCTAGATTACAGTTCCTAGATTAAGTCGCTAGTACATATAGATCTAACATTAATGTTAGACCTGTTATTTCCATCTTTTTAGTATTAGGTTTGGATCTTGATGTAATAATAATTACAGAAATTTAGCTTCATGCATCTAAACTAGGCCTTAGATTTGGGTGCATAGATTGAAAGCACCTTGTATTGAATCTACCCAGATCTAGATATAACCCTGCCTCATCAATTCTAGTGTTGCGTCAGCGAGTCACATGACTGGTGTGACGCCACGTTTCTAGAACTATCCTGTACTTTGGCGAATGCTCTAGTATTTACTAGATATAGGGTAGACTGGTATATAAAGGAGGGTGATAACGTGACGGGAGATTAATGTAATGTGTGTGTAGACAGTGAGTAATTGATCTGCAGTCAGAAGTATTATTGAGCACGTTCGTTGTTATAGCGTTTGTTTCGCGCGATTGTTGAAGTTGAGTGTATCGGTAAAGTTATATTCGGAAAGAATAAACCAGTTTTATTAAGTAAAGAACTTGTGTCGCTAAAGTTTCGTCGGAACGAAGTTACGGAAAGTTAATTCTTATATTATGTTATGGAGAAGAGTGTAATCACAATATGTGTAATTTTCATTCGAGCAATTTCAGACTTGTCACCTGTAGTATTCGTGTAGTTAAACCTATCGAGTTTTTAAATGTGATTTAGAAACTGCCAGTAATTTATATGGTGCTCATAAGCATGATTTACCAGCATATACACTCATCTGCGTTGATTTTCTTACTGTTGTGTCACATTAACTAACATGAGTATGGGTGGTCTAAATAATGACAGTTAAAGTGAAATCAGGTCCAGATGTGCCTAACTAGTCCTGAGTTGCAACTATAATTGTATAATTTAAATATAATTTGTGGTTAGGAACTTTAT